TTTGAATTTTCGGATATTTTGGAAATCTGAAATCAACAAAATATATTTTTTACTATTTTATTATTTTAAAATAGAAATGAAGAAAATGTTAATAATAAATCAGATTTCATAGCCTAAAATTAAAAATTAGACCTTCATGTCTCAAAATTTTGGAAACATTAAAATGACAATAAATACTTAATTTTTGGAAGATAACGATTAATAGAAAGACTACATCCTAGATTATTTGTTTTTTAATTTATCAATTTGTTTAAATAATAATTTTGAACTTTAACTATATGTGACATTTACTTAATAATGTTCATCATTTAATGGGTGTCTTGTCAGGATATATGTATGTGTTAATTGTGTGAACAGACAAATAATGAAAATTATACTAGCACCAAGCTCTTGTACTATCCATCATACATACTTGAGAGGTGAGTCGAGACAATTACTTCCAGCAATTACAAGAACAAGAGAGAAACATGTCATGGCAAGATCATCATCGTAATCAACTTCCCCAATCCCAAACAAGAGAAAGAGAAAGAGATAGACTGTAACACCCGGAATCCAAAAGGCTAATTAAAGGAAGAAAAAGCCCAAGTAAAGAAGGTCTACTCGCTGAGTCCAAGGAAGATAACTCGACGAGTAGAAGCAAATCAAGGACGCGGGTGGAAGGACCTACTCGCCGAGTCGGGGAGGACCAACTCGACGAGTTGGTCTGGGTTTGGGAAACCCTAAATCCGGGTTTTGTACTCTATTTAAGCATCTTTAACCCACACCCCCTGGCCTCATTTCCAGCCTACATTGTCCAAACCCTAGATCTCGAACCCTAATACTATAGTGAGCCATTTTTTAGTGTTCTTATGAGTGTTGAAGCTTGGGAAGGAAAGAGAAGCTTGGGGGAATCAAGAAGAAGCTAGTAGATCAAGAAACATCTTGCCTTTCTCACCATTTCTAGGTAAGAAAGTCTCCACCATGCTCATTGAGTACTTAGATCTTCTTAGCACCTTTTCTAGTGGGTTTTGGTCCAAGAAGCTTGACTCTTGGGATTTGGACGTCTCAAGAAAGGAACACTTCAGATCTAGTGTCTAGAGGGACTCTCATGGCATAAAGGTGTCAACTTTATGGCCATGAAAGTCCCATGCAACCTCTAAGCCTCTATTTTGATCTTTTTAGCTCCAAAAGGCCATGCATGTAGATAAAGCTTGAAGCTTTACGTGATTTTCTTGCCCCTAGAGTCCAAATCTACAACCCCATGGGTTATCTTGCAATTTTGGTGAAATTTGGATCAAGATCTAAGTCTTAAAGGACTAGGGTTTGAGCTATAGCCATTAAGTGAGACCATTAACGAGTAAAGATGGAAACTTTACCCTTAAAAGGACATTTTCAGTGTATATGAGAAGTATGAAGCTTAGATCTGAAGAGTAGGGGCTTAATCCATTAAGAAGGCCCAACAGACTGAGGAACTCGGCGAGTCCAAGGGAGGGACTCGACGAGTTGAGTTGGTTTGTCCCGATTCTGTACAGGAGGAACTCGACGAGTCTGTGAAGGGACTCGACGAGTTGGTTCGTGTTTTTCGCGACTAGGAGTAGCAAGGGAACTTGACGAGTCAGGGGGTGACTCGATGAGTTGAGTCAACTCTGAGCGTTGACTTTGACCATTGACTTTGACTTTGACCAAGTTTGACCTAGTTTGACTTATGAAGGCATTTGGACAAGAGTATGTGAGGGGTGGAATGGTCTTCTACCCCAGTGAGGACTTATGGTTAAGTTATAAGAATCCCGGACTTATCTAAGTTGTATGATGATCGGTAGCTCGGGGAGTCGAGAGATCAGCAGTTCGACGATCTGCCAACTTGCAGCGAGGGGTTTATTCGCGGGATTCAGCAGTCAGCTTGTGAGGTGAGTCTCCTCACTATGTGTATGGGTCTACGACCACAATGCCGACCCATTTAGTTTATGTATGGTAGGAAGACCCGGGGGTTAGCCCTAGGCATTATGCATGAAAGACCAGGAGGCGGCTCCTGGCACACAGTATGCTATTATGTATGGTAGGAAGACCCGGGGGTTAGCCCTAGGCATTATATATGAAAGACCAGGAGGTGGCTCCTGGCACACTGTATGCTCATTAGCTAAGTAGAGTGGTATGTATGCTAGTTGTCTTTGTGATACTTGCATGGAAGACCAGGAGGCGGCTCTTGGCACTTGTCTGTAAGACCCAGGGGGTGGCCCCCCGGCTTGGCAAGAAAGACCACGTGGCGGCCCGTGACATAATGGCAAGACTATGTACGTCACATAGCAACTTATTTGATATATGATTGATATGTATGGCTCACAGTATGTATGACATGTATGGCCCAGTTGATATGTATGGTATGTGGTATTTGGGGAACTCACTAAGCTTCGTGCTTACGGTTTACAGTTTTTGTTTCAGGTACCTTCAGTTTTCAGATAAGGAGCTCGGGGACGATCGCATCGCATTCACCCATATTATTCCGCATTACGTGATCTTTGGGATTAGACTCTGATATTTATTTTAAATGAAACGTTTTCAATGTTTGGAACAAAGTTATTAAGTGTTTTCTTATATTAAAAATAAAATTTTTGGTCTTGAATTTTGGGATGTTACAAGTTTGTATCAGAGCCTTGGTGTTGTTTGGAACAAAGTTATTAAGTTTTTTTATATTATTCCTCAAAGGTGTTGTTTGGTTCGTAAAATGTTAATGAAGAAATTGGAATTAGAATTGAAAAATGAATGTGTCAGGAATTTGAATCCAATTTCATATCATGTTTGGTTGACAAGAAATGAAATTAAAATTAATTTCAGATTCTATTTGGTTCACGGAAAATAAAATTGGAATCCATGTAAAATGACATAATTGCACTTTTTATCTGTTTTGCTTAATTTTACTTATCATAAATAATAATATAATTAAGACCCTTTCTTAATCATAATGTTAACTGTGCTTTCTAATTTCTATCAGCTGCCACATCCACTGTCATCTATTTTTGGCAGATTTGCATCGATGATAGTTTTGACCAAATAAGATGGCTTAAATGGTTTAGAAAAAGAAAAATTATGTATATATCCTTGTTAACAATAAAATATTGTATTTGTCTAACTTAAAATCAAAATATCATATTTATCCTTTATAACCTTTAAAATATTGTATTTGCCCAAATAATATTTTTACACATTTTTAACAATTTATAATCAATTAGAATCATTATAATTTGAAAAGGAAAAATAGATCGAGTATATTGCCCCTAAATATCCAAACCCCTTTGACATACACTGAATTGACCAAATTCCCCTAACCATTTATCTGATTAGGTTAACCCTACATTTGATCACACACGTATATACAGGTCCAAAATCTCCATTGTTGTTTGCTTGAAACACATAGCTCACTACCACTTTTGTTCAACAAATAGAAGCAATTTTTATCACACTTGTACTCACTTATATATAAACTTGACTTTTTTTAATTCCAATTCCAGTTCCACCCCTCTATATAAACTTCACTTGCAGTTTAAGAAATTAAAAGGACCTTTCTTTATTACCTTTCATTCAAGGTTTTATCTTCAACATTTGTGATTCTTAATTTTTCTTCTTCAGAATTTTGGGCGTGATAAACAACCTTCAACACATGGAAGGTTGTATCCCTGCTGCAAGTTTTAACTTGTATCTGTTATTATCCTTTATTTTTATAGTTTGCCTTTTTCTTAATAACTTACATGCTTGACGACCAAGAGGCACATGTGACAGAGGTACTAGAATTCATATTCAAATTTAAGATTGATGTGATGACAGTCTTTCTTGCCATTTAAGTTAAATTTATGTATTCATCCCCTATCTTCATGTGCAGAACATAACATGCATCTTTCCATAACTATCAGCCAGCCTATGGTATGCTCCATTGGCTACAACTACTGCTGATTATCTCTTTATAAGTTGATAGGTTTTTATAATTAAGTTAGAATTTTTAGTTTACATCGAGTGACCTCTTATGCACTAAACTTGGTTAATATCTTGACCTAATGGAAGCTTTCTGAATACAAAAATCACAATGAGAGCAGGAATAATTAGTCACGGAAAAGATTATGAACAACACGAATTGGAATTGGAATTGTAATTGTAATTGTAATTAAAACTGAAAGTCAAATGTTAATCAATGAGATGATATATATATATATATATATATATATATATATATATATATATATTATTAATTACTATGTAAAAGTGTTAATATCATGATTCATGAACCAAGAGCTTCAGGAAACTTCAACTTTATGTTGCCAATGGTAAATTGCAGGTCAAATTTGTTTCTGATATTGATATTGCTTTAGCTTTCAACAGCACATGAAGATCCATCTTACAAAAAAAATTTGATTCTTTGTTTTTGGTAAACTTTATTTTTTGATATTATTGTTCATGGACATTCAGCTTTGGATCTTTTGGAGAACACAGAAATCAATTCTCAATCAGCAGCACAGAAATCGATTCAAGAAAAGCGACACTCAATCGTTCAGCGATTAAATGAACGTGAGATAGGTTTTGTCAAAAATAAATAAAAGGGCGTAATGATAATCTTTCATTTTCCTTTTAATTCCATCAGCTTCTTCCCATTTGAATTTTGAAGGAAAGTATTTTCTCCCATTTAGGATTCCAATTCCATCCTACAAAGTTGAACCAAACACCGGAACGTGGTGGAATTGGATTCCTTTTCCCTCAAACAAAATGTTTTTAACTTTAACATAAGAACCACCCAGTCAATCTACAATACTTTTTTTTATTCACTAGTTTTCATAAAGATCCTGTCAAATTTGTATCTAGCTTTTAATCAAGTTAATTTACAATTTTGAGGTTGGAACTTACTAATGAAATTAATTCAAAAAAGTCTGTTATTACCTCATATGATATTATCTATCTATCTATCGCATACCATTCATGTTGATAAGCTGAAATAATACATATTAAAAAGAACACACAGACACAGCAGTAATTGTCCCTTACCTTGTTGAATAATATCCTCCTCTACCATTCTTGTGCTTGTGTTTCTGCATCAAAGCTCGTTCCCTTTCCTTTTCTCTTGCTTCTCTCTTCAACCTCTCTTCCCGTAATTCCTCAACGCTCTTCTTTTTACTGCTATTAGTTACTACTGTCTCCTCGGAATCATTGTTATCTACATCATCATCATCACCATTTGGGCGTTTTTCCAAGTACCATGGTAGCTTTACGCCTTTTCCAGCCACTCCATACCCTAACCTATACTTCTCATCCTCTGGCAAAACCACCTTTGGAGGCTCCGGCTCCTTCTTCATCCTCTTGAATCCCCCTTTCCTTTTCTCATCCCCTAATTCAATCTTCCTCTTATCAACATCAACTGGATCAAATATCCTGATTCCTTCAAACAAGTTAATATGCTTTGACTTTGGCTCCGCTTCGGGTGTCGGTGTGGGTGCTGGATCGGCTGCGGTGGATTGGTGTGAGGAAGCCGAAGCCGAAACCGAAGCCAATCCGCGGGCTTGGCGTAGCTGTTCGACGCGGAAGTCGGTGTCGCGCTTGCGAGATTGTTCGCGCTTGAGTTGCTCTTCTTTGGCCGCGGCTTCTTCGTCTTGGCGAACTTTTTCTCGGTTGTCAAAATTGTACACATTCCAACGTTTCTGAGGGAGAATATTCAGACCTCCGTGTCCTCCCATGCTTTCCAAACAAAGAAGCGAATCTTAGGTTAAATTCCAAATTAGGTCATACAATATTCACAATTCTCATTAATCAATTCTTCATCAAGACTCGTTAAAAAAATTCTTCATCAGGTCAAAAGGAAATCATAGACGATTATTCATCAGGTTCACAGCCAAAAATCAAATATTTACAATTCTAGATCAGGTTCACCACTTGCAGCCAAGATTCCCGCAAGGGTCGAGGACGCATACAAGGTAAGATGCAGGAAGGAGAAAATGGTTGCCAAAAAAGGAAATCGAGTTACCTGGTGATGCAGAGAAGAATCGCAGACGCAGGAAGAAAAAATCGGAGGCAGAGCCAAGAAGATTATTTGTGAAGAGGAGCAGTCGCATACGATTATTGAGAAAGTTTCAAGGGTACGGTCGTCATTTTCTCTTTTTCCCCTACAATCATCTCAACCTTCCTGGGGAAGAGTAGATGTGTTAAAACAAAAAACAAAATCGAATAAGTCATCCCATTAGGGGCTGTTTGATTTAAGCTGACCGGGTCCGGTCAGTGCTGACTGCTGACTCGGTCAGCAGTCGGATGTTTGGTAAATACAAATTAAAGCTGACTCGGTCAGCCAATTACTCTTACCCGGTGAGCCAAAAAAACTCTCCTGACTGGAAATTAGATACGCGTTTTCTTTTTTGCCCTTTGCCCTCACTCGCCTCCTTCGCCATCGCCATTACCCTAGACAAAAGTTGCTCTCGTCTTCTCCTTCTCCATCGCCAAGACCTGCTGATCGCCTCCTTCCCCATCTTCTCCGGCGACGACGCAGCCCCTCTTCTCCGGCGACGACGCTGCGGCGACTTCTCCAGCGACGACGCAGCCACTCTTCATCAGCGACGCACACACACAGGTAACTGCGTGATTTTTTTTTTGCTTTTTTTTTATCTGAAATCACAACACCCTTCCTGTCTTTGTGATTTCAACAAGTAGTCCCCTTATGTGTATATATGCCTGGTAAGATCAAAATGCTCAAGACAACAACCCCTTATGTTTTGAAGAAATTTATATTGCTGGTAATAAGTGTAAAATCACAGCCCCTTATATGGTTGTTAAATCGAACGAATTGTGTACTGTGTGTATATGATATGTTTATGTGTATATGTGTGTAAGATCAAAATGCTCAAGACAATGATCAGAATTTGTTACATAGGTATATGTGTATTACCAAACTGATATATGAGATGTTTATGTGTATTATCTGTATTTGATACACTAAAACACATGAAAACAGATAAGAAAAAAAATATATGTTTTATCTTATTGATATGTTAGCAAACTGATATATGATATGTTTGATGTATGTTTAATTTGGATTTTATATGATAATTTGTGTTTTTATAATTTTTTTATCCAGCACAAGAGACAACATAAGGGTAATATGGTCATTTTTTCATTCAGCACAACCATTCAGATAAATAATCAAACAGCATAAACTCAGTCAGATATGGACTCAGTCAGCATTTCTAACCCAGTCAGCTTCTAACCCAGTCAGCAACTATCAAACGACCCCTAAATAAATTTTGGTTTATATGGCTAATCTTATTTGGTTTTCGGTTAAAGTGGTTTTCTGAAATCTTATTTGGTTCGGTCTTTTATTTCAAAATTTGAACTTTTGTTAACCAACTAAAGTGAATAATTAAATTATATGTTTCTTTTTTTACTTTTAATTTTAGTATTTTTTTTTGTAATAATCTCTTAATATGTTTCCATTATAAAGATGTCTACTTTATCTATTATTCATGTATATTTTAAAGAATTAAAAAATTATTTAATGATAATTCTAGACTTTTAGAATCTTAATGTTAACCGTGTTTGTTGTTTTAGGCTTCTCTTGATCTTCAAATATTCATTATTGTTTAGCCATTGTTTAATTATAAGTCTAGTAAAATTTTTGAAATTGTAGTAACCATGTTAGCCTTTTGTTTTGTTATTCTGTTATTGTCATATGACCATGTTTATCTTGTTGTCGTTCTTTTTAGACGTTTTTTAGTTAAGTGGTTTAACACCCAGCTTTTTAATGTAAGGCACACCCAAAATTTTCACTTTTTAAATTAACAAATCCCATTGGTGTACACTTGTATTAATAATCCATTACAAGTATTTATCAACATGATTACATCAAAGAAATAAATTACAATGATCCGAACCTGACATCACATGATTATATGAACCATACTACACCAACTTATTTATAATCTCTAGATGTCTTTCACACTGACATAGTATTCTCCCTAGTATATACTCATAAAGTAGATACACTAAAATGAATGGGAATCAAACTGATTGGATTCCAAACATATACATATATAAGAGAATCAATCAACATTCAAAATTAAGGACTAGCTAGGTGTTCAATATTTGATTTGGATCCAAAATAATAAGAGTATCAAAATTCTCTCTTTCAACTAATTCTTTCTCTAAAATATTACAACATCCACACCATTTCATTCCTGAACATGAATGCATGGTTTTAGAATATGAAATCACTCAACTGAGATCGCTTCTGACTCCCCATGTGCATGTTGTGCTTTTTAAAAATATAGGCACTATCTTCCACACCCGCATTCAAGCAATTCATCCGATGCCTGTTGTAACATTAATGCAAATTTTCTTTTAAAAAAGAAAAAAAAAACATTAATTATTGTGCAAAATGTTGTATGAAACCATAACCATACCAAGCAAAGTGATCTTCACAACAAATGGAGCCAGCGATGATAGAAATTCCTGGTGCTTTCCTATAATTCAAAGATTAGAAAAAATTCATTATCATATTAAAGATTATACAACATTTTTAAAGCAAAACAAAAAATAAAAATGTACATACCAGGTTGCGTTGTACATGTCATAAAACTTGTCGAATGCTTTATCGAAGCAAAAGTGACAAGCAAGAAGATCCTTTATATCAGTCACCTTACAACTTGATTTACAGCATTTAACCTTATACATACATACATATATATATATATATATATATATATATATATATATATATATATATATATTATTAGCCTAAAAGATGCATGATGTAATAATATTCTCAAAATATTATTATTATTATTATTAAGAATACTCACAAGACGGTTGAGCTTGAAAGAGTAGTAGTTGGTATGGGAAGGGTGTGTTTGGATATGCTCCACCACGTGGCCTCCACTGGAATTCAACATGTGAAGGAAGAATTACTTTTAAACACTAAATCATAATAATGTCTATCTATATATGCATTAGGAAAAATGGTCTAAAAAGGAAAGTTGGTTACCTATCACATAATGTTATTCTACAATCAAGGCACGCCCCCAAACTAGACAAACTATTGCAGGCATTACATCCGGCCCCTGTGTATTTCTTCCCAATTTCGTGGCATCTGCACATAAAGAAACACACATCTATTATATTTATATATGGTCAAAATAAGCTTAACTTCACAACAAGAATGGTGGTGAATCAAATGAAATATTATTTTACCACTTCATTACGTAAATATCTTGAAGCAACAACAAAAGAAAAACACACACACAACCTTTTATATAGTTCAAGAAGATCCTTAGGTATAACATTTGATGCCTGCTTAGAAAACAAACAGTTTAATTTAATGAGCAGCTCCAAACGTTAGCATACACACTTGGCCTAAGACACCTACCTTATCAGATTCAAGATTTATAATGAAAAAAGTACCTGATGAGCAGAGGATAAAGATTGAGGATTTGATTCCATGATGACTAAACAATCTTCAGCAAGATGACCGGCTTTTTTACATTTCCAACTAGAAATAATAACAATAAACATATATTTTAGTACTTTAGTTAAGATTTAACAACACATGTTTGTATATATATATATATATATATATATATATATATATATATATATATATATCTATTAGGTTTTGTATTTGTATGAATGGAAGCAATTACCATTGATATGAAGATAGAATAGATCTCTTTGTTGACCAGCGATGACGGTTGAAATCCCAAGTGTCAGTTTCAGAAACTTGCAATTGAAATTTAGGTCCCTTGACTAATAATATTTGGTTGCTTGGAGTTGGAGGCCCCTGCAAATGTCCCAATTATTGGTTTTGAATTTGAAAAAGTAGTGTAGTGGATTGGATTTGATGTTTTATCTATGAACCTGAGAATTTTTTAGATTGTCCAAAACCTCAGCTTTGCAATCCATGCTGCAGATATCATCATCAGTCTGGTAGGAATAGGATCAAAAGAGAGAAGACCTTCTTACTTCTTAGTTAATTGTAATAATATACTAATATAATAAGAAATTAGAAGCCAAGCCACCTCATCACATATATATTCCCCATATTTGCCACACACCACACATACAGGCTCTCCAGGAATAGGAAACCGCTGTGACCTTCTTTCTTTTATTACGTCATTGCCACTGTTTATATTTCCTAAAAAAAAGACCAATCTTAGTTCAGATTTCAAAACAATAAGCATAATAGCTTAATTGATTGCTAAAACAAAGAGACAAGAACCAACCAGCACTTTCAGGAAGAGGATCCTTGGTTTCTTCTCTTTCTGAGAAATCACTACTTGCATCACCTATAATATATATATATATATATATATATATTATATATATATAATATATATATATATATATCCATTAACTAAGTTATATAACAGACTTGTAAGCCATTTATCACACAGAAGAAGAAGAAAATATGGCAGCTGTTGTTTGAACATAATATCACTACAACTTCAATATTTGTGTTCCCTTGTGTTTTGTAGAACACAAAGGAGCAAGACAAACACACATGGACAAATACAAGTGTTTTCTGTAATTGTTTAAGAACCCATAATACTTAATGTGATAATCATATTGAAATTGTATTTTTGGTCATGAAAATAACTTACTGTCATACCCCAACACCAATCGTCCACCAGAGGCCGAACCCTCACCCTCACCCTCACCCTCCTGCAATCAAATTGAAAATCAGATCAGAGCAGATCAAAGGAGAATTATTTTATTATGAAAAATGTGATATGGAGTGGAGTGTACCAATACTTTATTAGTTAATTCCTCAAAGGCTTCAATCGAATTAGCTTCTTTCCTGTGTCGACACAAACAAATAATAGCCCTAAACTTCACCACATAACGTTTTGAATATTATTTTCTAAATTACAACAAATTCACCTAATTTTCTGAATATAATCATGGTGAGACATGGGTCCATCACGTTCTTCAATTTCGTGTCTTTTAGCCATGGAAGGTGAAATCCTCTGCCGCTTGCAGCGGTTAGATTGTAAGGGGGCCTTTTCCCTTGCTGGAGGCCGGTTCATCATCCGGCGGAGTTGGATTTCCGGTGGCAGCATTATAAGCTGTGAGATTGAAATAATAAAAATCCTCAAACCAGCAGAAAGATTGCGTGTTGTGTGCAATTGAAGACATAAAGTTGGGATTTTTGTTACCTTTTAGATTTTGAA